CAAATTCTTAAAATGTGCCACCAAATATTGGAAATGATGCAATAAAAATTATAATGCTTTTTATAATTTTTCCATACTTTCACCGTGTGAGCAACTTTGTCGGTGATTGTCTTGTCTCAGACAATCTTAAAATAAGTTAGAATAAGAAGGAAGTGTTTAAATTGTCTTTGACAATTTTAAAAAATTTTGAAATTATAGGTAGGAAACTTAATGACTATTAAAATTATTAATTAACAAAGGAAAGCAAGCTAAATATTAACTTTCAAACGGAAATAAAAACTAATCATTATAGTTAGCTATGCAATAAATAGTTATAAAAACAAATTAACAAAGGATAACTAACAAAAACTAAGCAAACAATTAATAATTAGCAAAAATACTAGTTTTCAAGAAATCACAAAAAAAAAAGAATTAATGTAAAAAAACGAACATATAATAACTATAGAAAACAAGCTAACAATTAATAACTAGCAAAAAAATAAATAACTGTTACTAACTAACAAAAAATTAGTCGGAAGAAATAATTAATCCCTTAATAAGCGTGCTTTTGTAGTACATATTATTTTATTTTTCATAAAATTATTATCACAAACTATTTAACACAGGTAAGTAAACAACTTTCAAACTAATTTTTTTCATTTTGTGCCGTAAAATTTCGAAATCGTTAAAAGTGTGCCGCCACAAAAAAAAAGGTTGAGAATCACTGCCTTATAGATATTAAAGTTGGAACTATATATCATTTTAGGCAAACGGTTGGCAGTGTAGATGTCTTTCTAAGAAATAAGTTTATTTAATTATCATTGATAATTAGAAAAATCCTCATAAGTTAAGGGATTTTTATATTCTTAATTTTTATGGCCATTGTTAAAATTCATCGAAAGAAAATCAAAAGAAACTTTAACACCACATATATATATAAAAGAAATTATTAACACCTTCCTTCTCCCTCCCGTGAAAATGACGGGACGAGGTTTCGCCCTCTATTTCTCGCTCCCGTGATATTCCTGGGCTGTAGTGTTAAGTTGTAACGCGCCAATAGGAATAAAACTAATTAATTTCTTTTGCCCGGAAAACATTTTATTTCTCATTTTACACACCAGATGACAGTACCAGGACATTTTTAAGGTAATTGTAGATAGTTAGTTTATTTTAAACTAGATGTCAGCACTAATCAAATACGTGTATAAAATAATAGGCGCTTTTATGACCGTTTTCTTGAGAATTAACCGATCATTAAGCCTGTCTATTTACACGTACTACGTTATCAACCATTCACTATTTAGTTTTTTTTTTCTTCCTCATATTGAATTCTCGACCTGAGTAGGTAAAAAATCGAATGTTCCAGCATTTATTAGAAAAAAGGCGCTGGAAACTATTCGTAGTATCCCATAATCGACCCTGAAAATGTATAATGATGACAGAGTAATCGACGTCATTATTTCTGGAAATGACATGCACGCACGTTCTGTTTTTTTAAAAATCTGAACTTATTGCGATCAATAAGTGTTTACAATGTATTGACACGTCAACGGAACTCTACTGCTTGGATATTAACAGACCGTTGTGGCTCTATATACGGCACTTTTCTCATTGCACGGATATATTCGGCACTTTCTCATTGCTCTAACCTGAATATTTTTAGATCTAAGCTTTCGGTTTTTCTTCAAGTCTCTTTATACAATTTCAGTGGGCTGTCTCCTACATTGGATTGAATGTTAATAAACAGCTGATGCTTCGGCCAAGACTACATCTGCTGACAACTTAACAGCAGTACAATAGACAAAGTCAAATATTAAACAGTATTTTATTTTATATTATAACCGTTGTGGAACAGCCCACCCAATTCTTAGTTTTACGACTACCAGTATTCGACTCCGTAGCCTTGTAATTTTGATCTCAATTCAGAAGACAATGGGACTCCGGGATCAAGTATTGAGAAAAATGTGCGTTCGTGGAGGTATTTTTGATGGAACTAATCAGCATTTGTGTTACATGTCGAGGAAAACCACGAATATCTTTCACGGCTAGCCTGACTGTAAGGGGACTCTTAACTGATGATCCGTTTACCACTGAGAATATTTCACGTCAGCACTTCGGTCAACCCAGTTTCAGTTCGATCAGCAACAGCTAATCTGGAATGTAAAGAAGCAGCCGGGTAACCTCAAATATGCTAATTAAAAATGCAGACAATATTTTAAGTTACGAAATCAGACACACAAACATACCTTTTTCTCGTCGGATTCGGATTTCTGACCCCCAAAATATAGGTGGTAGTTGCTATATCCAGGAAATATGGTCCCAATAGTTTCGTCAGGAGAGCGCTCCAATCAATATTTGAGTCCCTTAATGTTAATTTTACTTTTTGCGTATTTCGCTATATTTCGATAACTTTTTATGCGAATTGAAAATTTATTTTGCACACAATTATAAAATTCTTTTTTCGAAAGATAATTCTATGCAAAAAAATTTTTTTAGTAATTATTTATTAATTTATTTAATAATGGATGAAAAAATTTTGAATTGCAAGGTATGCAATTTTTTGCATAATTTTAAAGAACACAATTTTGCACGGTAAAATACAAAATTTGAACAAAATCGGTTGAATAGTTCCTGAGAAATCGAATTTTAAATACCTTACTCACAATTTAATTCAATTTCTCAGGAACTATTTAATCGATTTTGCTCACATTTTGTATTTTACCGTGCAAAATTGTGTTCTTTAAAATTATGCAAAAAATTGCATACCTTGCAATTCAAAATTTTTTTGACCGTTATTAAATAAAATAATAAATATTTACTAAAAATTATTTTTCGTATAGAATTATCTTTAGACAAACGAATTTTATAATTTTGTGCAAAAATGTTTCAATTCGAATCGAAAATTCTCGAGATATAGCAAAATACGCGAAAAGTAAAATTAACATTGAGGTTTCATTATAACATAAGCAACATTGAGGGATTAATCGTAAAATACAACATGTCAGGAATATTTTTCTGAAATTTTTAAGTTCACACTAAATGGCTCAAGTATAGTTCGGTCACCAGTATTTGGCACTTGACTCCGCCTTCATCACGTGGTATCCGACGATACTATTTCACTATTTTTGGGAGGAGGCTGTGAACAACCCTGAACAAGGTTGCTATTTGGCGATCGTATGGCAAAAATATTTATTTTGCAATTTTTATGTGCATTTTTTAACATTAAATATTTCATAAATTTAATGACATTTCTTTCCTTTGAGTGAATAGTATGTCTTTTTTGAGACATTTTGCTGCAATATATTTAATTAACTAGAGTAACGAAAGATATAATAGCAGTTGATAAAGCGAAGTAAGTGACTGAAAAAGAATTCACAGTATGGGTTGTCACAATTTCAAGCGCGGGGACGTTTCTCCCTATACTCCCCGTCCTTAAATGAACTCTTCGTCCGAGAAGGTGGAGCCAAGTGCCAACTCCCGATGAACGAACTATACCCTGGAGTAAAAATAGACTACTAAACTATAATAAACAAGCCCATGGAGGTCCTACTGTGCCCATCTGGGTTCAGATATTCTGGTTGGGCGGTCAACTGAGCTTGGTACTCATTTTATTGCCCACTAGAGAGTTGAAAGGGTGAGTCAACCTTGTCCGGTACGAGGATAAAAACTGAAAACTCTATAACTCAAACTAATAAAATTTTGTATACTCCCTCGTGATAGAATTAACTAGCAATGAAGCGAACAATTATTTTTTTTTTATTTCCTATTTTACAGAGTTAATAAATTATCTAGATTTTACCAAAAATTGTATATTTTTGTTCTCAATAATTTTGAAATTCATAATTCAATCCCAAACCTTATTATTAGACTATCAGAAATTTGTTTTAAAAAAAATTCTAACAACTGCCCTGCTCGTCTATCCCGCAAAATTGCTTTCGTATTTCTTTTGGATTGCTTCACTCATTGGATACTTATATACTCGTACTATGTTAAAAACAGGCAACATATACATCGATTTATAGACATTTGTTCAATCTATGTACGACGTGGAAATTACGTTTGAAAAAAAATTTCATCGAATCCCTTGATATATTTAAATTTTAGTGGAGACACAACAGCTCTAAGTCCGTTATTCTGAAATAAACTTGTAATGTTACCTGAACTAAACCAAAGAAAAGGGTTAGAAAACTAATACTAATAAAAAAAAAGGGTACTAAAGCGTAGCTTGATTTTCAGCTCAGTTTGTTGCCCACATGAGAAAAGAAATTTAATCGGTTTTGTAATTATGTAGGCATAATAGTATTGTGCTAAAGTGTTTCATATAACATAGTATAATAAAAAAAAAATTAAATAAATTAAAAACTTCTGATATTTCGATGACATATAAGTTATCGAGAGTTATCCTAACATTTTGAAGTAGATTTTTTTTTAAGTGGTTCTTATAAGCCCGTTATCAATGACTTAATTTCCAAAATTTTGGTATAAAAATTGCATAAAAGAATTATTTTGTTACATTAAATAAAGAGATATGATTTTTTCTGCCCTTCAAAACAAATATAAACCCTTTAAAAGAAATTTTCATTCATGAATAACGAAGGAAACTGCTGCCCCTTTAATACTTATTTAAATTTTTGCTTTAAAAATATCTTTGAATGTTATTGTATATAAATTAAGCTAAAAAGCGAAAAAAAGCACGAACAACTAATGTAGTGAAATTTTCATACAAAGAAAATCTGCGAAATTAATTCATGTGCACACTTTAAAAATCGATTATTTTGAATTAGTATAGATTCAGATTTTATTTAAAAAATGTGTATAAGTATATTTTGTTCGAATTTTGATGTCAAAAACCGCTTATACTGCATTCTTATGCATAATACTATTAAGATCGTGATAATGTATAGATTAAGCTCACACCTCCGTCTCTTATCGCTTTTCTTAAGTATTTGCAGCTGACTTTAAATAGATCCCTATGTCACGATTTTATTTGACGAAAAACTTCTTTGATGTCACATTCCTGAGAAACAAATGAAATGCGCGTAATTATTGTGCGCATTTCACTCCGAAGCACTTCTTAGACTCGCATACCAAAAGAAAAATAAAAGTATACAGATTGATCAGAGATACTCATTTCCTTCAAATGTACGATGACAAGAAGACTTTTATTGATATCTTTGACTCTATTGCTTTTAGCAAAACAGTATGTGGTGGCAGAAGAAGATTTCTGCGTTTGGTGTAACAAAGAAATGGCTAATAATTTCATGAACTGCATCACTGAAAAATTAATGAATGAACCACAATTCGGCAACATTCCTAAAAACAGTATAAATGATGTGAAAAGCAGTATGCTTGCAGCTTCTAATGCTATGACGAGTACTTCGCAGAGTTCTGAGGCGAAAATGCTAAATGGAGCTCTTGCTGGTGAAATAAGTGGGCTAGTTAAATCTCAAATGGTTTTAACTGGACAGAGTGCACACGAGGTTACTGCAAAAATAATGGATATGATTGCAAATTGTTACATAGGAGTAACTGGAAAACCACATGCTCATTTTGTTCGTAATTTAGGGAAGGCAGTTGATTTCATGCTGTCAGAAGATCAAGACGACAATGACAGTCCATCTGCTGTTGCAAGCAGTTCTGCTCAGAGTGGAAATAACGCACCCGTTCAGCGACCTCCTCCCGTGCTTCCACAGGCTCCCTATCAACAGGTTCCAATTAGAAATCCAGGATTCGTTCCATTTAATCAGCGCTCACCTCTTAACAGCCAACCACCACCAAATTCAAAACCAATGCCTACAACAAACGAACAGCCTAATAGGGAATTTCCCATCAACAATGAAAGCCCACGAGAATTTAACCACCAGGTTCCGGTAAACAATCAACATCAACCTACATTCCACCAACAGCCTCCATTGAACAATCAGCCTCCACCAACTTTTAACAGGCCAATTCCTTTTAATGGACAACCTGCGCCAGGTTTTAACAGGCCAATTCCTTTTAATGGACAACCTGCACCGGGTTTTAACAGGCCAATTCCTTTTAATCAGCCGTCATTTATTCAAAGGCCACAATATTTTAATCAGCCCCATCCAAATGCTGATCATCAGTTACCTACAAATAATCAACCATCACCTATTTTAAATCAAGGACCTCAGTTTCCTCCAGGTCGCAATCAAATTGCTCAAGAAAACAGACCTCCTTTTCAGGTCAACAATCTACCGCAAGAAAACAATTTTAAACCAATACCAAACAATTTCCCTAGACAGTGGAATATTCCTGCCAACAATCCCGAGCGACCAACAGATTCAAGTGTTGCTAGACCTATACAAGGTCAGTCACAACCACAAACATTCCAAGAGAATAAACAGACGGAACCAAACAATCTATACCGTAATTTTCCACGAACAGAGCCTAATCAAAATAGAAACCTTCCAAGTATTTATCAACAAAACCCCTCAAATAGTGCTTCTTCTGCAGTAGCAGTTAATAATGTACCTTCAGGTGGAAATTTCAACGCCCCTCCAAATGTTCCGTATTTAGGAATGAATCCAAAAGGGCCCCAGATTCAGACACCAGTATTAGGAAATAGACCTGAAGTTACTCGCATAGAAAATTTAAATCAAAACAGATACCAACCAGGACAATTCGTGAATAGGTTCCCATTAAACGTAGCAAACAGACCAAATGCGGTCAATTATCAACCCAATCAGGTCGCCATAAACAATGCTCCAATTGTTAACCCACCAAATAATCAACCCAATTCGGCTGCCACAGCTGTTGCTACAGCAGTAAATCCATTAAATAATCAACCCAATCCGGCTGGCACAGCAGCAAATCCATCAAACAATCAACCTAATCCGACCACCTCAGCAGTAAATCCACCAAATAATCAACCCAATCAGGCTGGTACAGCTGTTGCTTCCGCTGATAACCCATCGAATAATCAACCCAATCAAGCTGCTGATAATCCATCCAATAATCAACCAAATCAGGTTGCTAATGCTTCAAGTGCAGCTGCTTCAGAAACAGAAACTAGTAATGATGATTCTTCAAACCAAGAACAAGATGGCGAACAAATAGACAACGCACCGAATGCTGAAGCTTCCGACAGTGCAAGTGCTTTTCGCCATCGAAAACACAAGCATAAACCACCACAGGTTGATAATGTAGACAGTAGGGAAGCATGCGCTTTAAGATTTGGAGAAACGTTATTTGTGTATCTAACAAACTCAACCATATTTCCAAAAGTACTTGATACTTCGACTCCGAAATCTTTTGCCTCCATGATTATTCCTGAAGTTAACAAAAGAGCTGCAACCGATAGTGGATATGAAATTAGTGCAGACCAAATAGAGGCTCTTTCTAAAATATATATGATGCGTTTACCAGAAGGTACCAACAGTCAATTATATGGCGAAAAAATGTCAAAAGCTGTTATGGTTCCGTTGTTTCAAACAGGGTTCATTGGAGACGATTGTGAAGCTGAAGCAAAATCTATTGGATCAAATATTTTAAAGTATTTGAAATTAGTTATTCCTTATCTGAATAACATTAAAAGAAAAGCCTCTCAGTCGTCTTCTTCCCCAGCTAATTCACAAAATGGAAATGCAGTCGCTGTTGCATCAGCATCCTCAAGCAGTGATGCAAATGCGGATTCAGACAATCAGCAGTATGATGATGAATATTATACTTACGATGATGGATACACTGATTATAATTCAAACGATTACAATACCAAGCAGGATGTGGATACTACACCTGGAAACAATAAAAATGAATATTTAACGACAACTGCTGACGTAGATGAAAATTGTGATTATGATGAACATTGGCAAGAAACATCAAATACAAATCAAGAACCAGAGGAAAATAATAATAATAATCAAATCAGTTCTTCTGCTACTGCAGAAGCAGATTCTAACTCCCAGACACCATTTAAAAGTTTTGGGAATTTATTTCAGAGGCCACAGACACCCACTCAAGATCAACCCGATAGCTCTTCCTCAAACGCAGGGGCTAATACAGATTCTCAAGCTCCGAGTCGAAGTTTTTGGGCATTTTCCCAGAAACCAAATGAAAATCCTGTTCAATCAAGTAGCTCTTCTACGAATGCGGAAGCTAACTCCGACTCTCAAGCTCCGAATCAAAAGTATTGGTCATATTTCCAAAGACCAAATGAAAATCCAATTCAATCAAGTGGTTCTTCTGCAAATGCAGAAACTAATTCCAACTCCCAAGCTCCGCGTCAAAAGTTTTGGTCATTTTTCCAGAAACCAAATAAAAATTCAGTTCAACCAAGTGTCTCTTCCACAAATGCGGAAGCTGATTCCAATTCTCAAGCTCCGAATCAAAAGTATTTATCATATTTCCCAAGACCAAATGAAAATCCAACTCAATCAAGTAGTTCTGCAAATGCAGAAACTAATTCCAACTCCCAAGCAGCGCGTCCAAGGGTTTGGCCATTTTTCCAGAAACCAAGTGAAAATCCAGCTCAATCAAGTAGCTCTTCCACCGATGCAGGAGATAATTCAAAGTCTCCGTTTGGTGGTTTTTGGAGCATATTTCGAAGACCAAAAGCTGAGCAAGCTTCTTGGAAAGAACCAGGTTTTGCTCCTATTGCTGCTCCAAGCGATAATTCAAATGGTAATCCATCTTCTGCCTCAAACCAAGTACCGGATTCGGTGCAATTGCAAGATTCATCATTAAACCAAAATAAGAGAGAAGATCAAGTGTTAAATGAGGGATCAGATTCTATGCAACCACAACCTAGCCAAGCAGTAAATCAAGGTCCAATACCGAATCAAAATTCAGGACCAAGGCAGTGGAAACCATATCAAGGATTTGCTAATACTCCGAATGGAGGACCAGCCAATACTGGTCCAGGATTTATACCAAATCAAGGACCAGCCAATACTGGTCCAGAATTTATACCAAATCAAGAACCAGCCAATACTGGTCCAGGATTTATACCAAATCAAGGACCAGCCAATACTGGTCCAGGATTTATACCAAATCAAGGACCAGGTGGTGGGCCAAATCAGTACCCTAAACCTATTGGCGGAAGGTTTGGATCAATACCAGATCAAGTAGTTCCTTTTTCAAACCAAGGATTTGGTCCATGGCATAATAGAGATTCTTTACCTGTTCAGGCATCAGAGCAAGCATCGAACCAAGAACCGTCCAATGCAGGACCAGAATACGCCCCAAATCAAGAGATAGATAATTCTCCAAACTTCGCACCTGAGGAAGCGATGACCGATGGCCCAATGGAAGAATCTGGAGAGGGGCCACAGGATGGACCAGGAGAAACCGATTATTGGGGATCTGGAATGGAACCAAATACAGATGAAGAGCAGAAGAAAATGTCTAGTTCTAGTCCAGTTCAAGAATCAGGAGGAGCACCAGATGAAGGACCCGGGAAAACAGATAAGGATACCTTTCCGAATTTAGGACCAGGTGCAAACCAAGGATCGGAAACAAATCCAATCCAAAATTTCAATGCAGAACCTAATCACTCACCGGATCAAAGTGCTCAAAATCCACACACAGGACTTGCTAACTATTTAGCTAATAGTCCTGATGCCAACACCAAATCTCAAATGGAGGAATTAAAAGCAGCGTGCATAAGAAGTATCACTAAAAATGGTTACAACTACAATGAATTAATTTCTACTATGGGAAAAATTTCAAAAGACATGAAAAACATTCATTCAGATTGGAGTGTACCTAAAATATTTTCTTTTACAAATTTCGCAACTATGGTGGCGTGCACTCAAGTATTACAAAATGTTGCAACAGCTATGGCTACGCAAAATGCTCGTCCAAGAGAAATACCTAATAGCAATTCTGCAAATGCAGCGACAACAAATTTTGAAGCACCAGTAAATAGAGGTAATGAAGCTACGATAAAGAGGGAAAACGAAACTCCAACAAACATAATTATTGAAAGAAACAACAATTTCAATGAAAGGCCAGCCATATTACCGCCGAATAATGCACAATTCATTTCAAAATCTGTTTCAAGACCATATGTTTCTCCTCAACAAGGACAGAATAATAGAAATTTCCAAAGAGATTATAACAATGCGCCAAATTACTCCAGACAACCAGCCTTCGGACAACAAAATTCTTTCCCAATAGCTCAAAGACAATCATTTTCTAGTGCGAGTGCATCGGCTAGTGCTTCAGAAAATAATGAATTTTCTGGTGGTGGTCGTGAATATCCAGCTCAGCAAGCAATACAAGTTTAAGGGATTAACACTGGGTAATGTCTTAAATCCTTACTTGATATAAATGTTTTAATTCACGAACAATAACTGGTTAAATAAAAAACAAGCCTTTTAAATTTATCAGGAACAAAAGTTTAGTGAAATTCTTAATACTATTTTTCAATGCTTCAAAAATCATCCTTCGAATTTCAACGATTTTACTGGAAGAATTGTAATTTAAAATTACATAGAAATATCGAATTACAATTTTCATTTATTCTTTATGTACTAAATTTTATTAGCTTAGAATTTAGAACCTTGTTTGCGAGAATAAAGAGCAAATTATTAATTCACGTAAAGTCTGAGTTATAATTCGTAATGTATTGTTTCATAAAGTTAATTTATATCTATTACAATGCAATATGTTATTATTTTGCTCTCATATGATTTGGATTATATTATCGTTCTAGCTGAATACCAGCTTTTCGAATGAGGTCAGAGAAAAGTCACAACAAATCAGTATTAATCAACACTTGGAAATTATACACAAAACTAAAAGACGTATACCGCTCTAAAATTGTATTAAAAAAAAATAGAATTTTGCTTAATAATTACATTTAGGTCATAAAATAACTTCTTAAATATATTTTCTGAAAAGTTTCAAAATGATTTTTTCATTTTGAGCAAAAGCTGGTCTTGTTTTCCTGAAGGTATGTGAAAAACGAGCACTGCAACATTCACCCTTTAACGTTTAGCAAACACTATTCTTCAAACAACAAAGAGCTTAAATATGTCAATTTACTTGGAATGTACTGTCTAGGGTCTGACTAAAATTCTGAATCGAAATTTACTGTTCCGGAAAGGGTTAAAGAGAAAATTTCAACCGTAGCAGTACTGTTGCATTTCCACTTGACAAGAATTGAAACTTAATTTAAGTATCAGACTTAGGTATAAAGAGAATATAGTTTTCAAAGGTTCATTCTTAGAAAAACTATAAGCTCATGTCAACTTTGTTATTCTTTTTTCAATTAATGTGCTACTCATGTAAATTAGAATGTTAAATATAATGTGGCATTGGTATTCCGGTTAAAATAAAACTAGTAGTATTCAGAAACTTGTAAGTCAGGTTCTAGTGAATGTTACTTCAAATATAATCCAGCTTTATGCCCGAAAAAATATTTTGGAATTCTGCCACCTAGGTAGTACAAAATATATTAAGGAATAATGGAATATTTTTATTATTTACAAAACTGCATGTTCCATTAGTATACCTTTGAAAGGGTACCACTGTGTTAGCAACACATATGGTTCTATGTATATGGTTTCATTATTATAACGCGACTTAGCATCATTTCATACAATTATTTTCCTACTGAAACCTCAATGTGATTTACATATCATACAGCTTTAGAGTGTGAAATCATGCACATTAAAGTTCAATGGTCCATAATTCAGTAAAAATGTACTAAATTTTTATTTCCTCCTTATGGATGGCAATGCAAATTTTTTCAATTGTATGGGTGATCTCATGCTCAGAGACTGCATTTGTGAAACGTTAGTTGTTAAATATGGAGATTTATTGCTTTACCTAAAACAATGAATATTGTAGCTAAAGTGTTATTCTGAATTTGCTGGCAAAAAAGCAAAAGAAAAATGATACTCGGGATAAGTGGTACTTCCAATCTAAAAAAGGGAAATGGCATTTTGAACATTTAAAGCGTTTGCCTTTCAATATCTGTTAAATGTAACACACTTTGGAATTCACGAAAGGAGGATAGCATTTCCAGCAATTATTTCAACATCTAAAGTTAGCTAAAAATAAGTCAACACATTTAAACTAATAACTGCGCTCCTTTACTTTAATTTAAATTATCAATCTGGTACTTTCGTGGACTAATAAACTTTGATGTGTGCGAGTGTTATGCTCATCCTGCATATGAAGTTCGGATGTGAAATGTTGAACACTAATGACTAGTCCTTGAGTTCTGAGTTAATTTTAACCATCTTGTACATACATAAAATGACTTCGTCTTTCTGGTTTAGTAATAAAAAGATGGACTGAAATAAAAAAAAATTATTTAATAATTTTACCTTCAATATTGAATTTGCTAAATTAAGAAGCAAATAAATTCTTAAATTTTTTTAATGAAGTAAATTAGTTGCAAATAGGCATTCAAATGTAAGAACTAGTAGTTTCATGATAAGAAATTGTGTATGTCAGGATTTTTTCCATATTATTTTGCTTTTCAATATCACTTTTTTTGAAAAGAACTGATTAAAAATTTAAAAAAAGAAAGAATTAAGAATATAAAAGCCAGTAATTAAAAGACATAATCTCGCAGTCAGCTTACACAATTATATCTGCAAATTAGAGTGCTTTCTAATATTGTATTAACATAGCCAAAGCATAATATAACAATGTTAGAAGTACCAAAAAAAACACATATCAAGCAAAAAACATAAATTCATGTAAAATACAGAATGAAACGAAAAATGTAACACATAAAGCTAGTAACGAAATCAAATGTCTATTTATTTATTGACAACTTGAAAAAATGATTTTAAAATATTTTCGTAAAGATTTTGCCAGATTACAAAATATGAAATTAAATGGAGCAGAATGTTTTATATATTTTATGTCTTGTTGTTACTGAAGTACAGAATCACATTTGATCTTTGTTACCTTGGATTGCCCTGAAACTTAGTTTGTGCAAGATAATTATTATACTGGATAAGATAAGTTAATAATTAATAAGAAATGAAATTTTAATTATAATATTTATTGAAAAAATCCTTTAATAAACATTAGAAGACTTTTAGCCACGGATTTACCCGAATTGAAGTTGTGTAAATAAATTCGTTAATAATTTTAACACACAATTAACTCAATTTAATTATATTAGTTGAATATAAATTGTTTTTAATCAAATTTTGGAAGAGTTTGTTTATTTGATTTTTGGGAAAATAAACAATAAATAATAATTATTTACATGGAATCATCTTCGGATAAATAAATTTTACAATAATGTAAAAAAAAAATGTTTTGATTCACTATAAAAGTACTGGAGAACTGGTGAAAGATGCAAAAAGTAATATTAACAATAAGAGGTTCAAACTTTAAACCTTTCTCTTAAGTAAACTATTGAGATCATGTTTTTTAGATTCCAAATCCAGATCTGTTAATAATAATAAAATTTAAAAAAATGATTTTTCAGAGAGAGTGCAAATGAAGTTCATTTTGTGCAATGGATAACTTACATTAAAGTAATAAAGTCTAAACATGTTGAGCATAATTTCCAATAAATTAAAAAAAATAATAAGCAGCACCATTTTTGATTTTATGTTTTCAAAATGAGCGGGCTGTTAGGAAACTTTTTAAGATTGTTACATCCGAAAAATGGATTCAACATATTAATTTTTTTTGTTACACTTGTGATTGAAAACTAAACAAGGAGTACAATGCTCATACCCCTTAAAAATAAGAACAAAGTTTAAGTATATGATTCTCAATATCCTGCAAGACACCAGATATTTTTTCATCAAATTGCAAACTTACTTACATAGTTTGTCAATAGATGGGTGCTGCTGAGAAAACTACACGAGAAAATGAGAAAAAACTATTCTCAAAACAGTCACCCTTTGCAACAACAATCCTGTGCATTCTGACGACAAAAGTAATATACTCCCATAGAAATATTTCAATTAGAATGGTCTGACATGCAGCAGAAAACATTGTTTTATAGATTTTTCTAGTCAGTAATGCTACCTGTTAAATAAATTCGTAACTAATTTTAAAATGATTAAATTAAACATTTATATTTTTCTTCAACGGATTTTATAGGCACTTGTTATTAGTAATATATCAAAGTGTATTTTAATGAATTTAAGCATAACTTTTAAGAACTGAATATGTATATTTTTTAATAAATTAAATCCAATACACAATAATAAAATTTTATATTCTATTTAGAAATCGGACACAGAGAGCACTTGTTAAAAAACAAGACGAACTCAGGGAATCAAAGAAGAAAGCTGAAGTGATTGCTTTACGTTTTTGTTAAATAAAAATACACAAGTTACAGTTTAGTATTTTATTGCTTTAAGATTGAAAGAAAAATAAATAACAAAATATATTGCTTTTCATTTTTTCATAAATATTAACTTTTAGAAAAAAAAATATTAGTATCAATAAAATGTATAGAATAACTACTCGTAAAAATGAGTGCTTGTTATAATAACACATTTGAAAATTCTTTAATCCTTTAACTGTTGAGCTTTTAGGTCATATTTGCACAAGAACCTAGTATCAAGTCTTTCCCAAATGACTGATGGTTTACTGCGCTAATCACTTAAGAAAAAAATTTATGATTTGCTGATTTCTGCTTAGAAAACAAGAGAAATCAGTTTTAAAAGTAATAATAAAATTGGTCAACAGACCGCACTGCTAGTTGAGAAAAAATATGCGAACAAAATAAACATCTACAGCAACAACGTGGTGCAATTTGAGAGCTAAATTAACAGAGTCTTAGGAAAAGTCACACAGTAGATATTATAAGTTTTCTCACTCAGCAGTGTTATCTTATGAACTTTCTAGCTTAGTGAGAATTAATAATTGGGTTTCTTTAGTAGGATGCAGCTGACCATACATTTTTGTCTAGCAATTTTTTTAAAAAAGAATTTATGAAATTATTCGTTATTTTGGGGACACATGTTTCTCTATTTAAAAACTGGGTTATTGTGTTGCAAAATAATCAAGTCCAAACAGAGTTTGGAATCAACAGTTAAAGAATTAAATATTGCATTGCCGAATTTCCATAACAAAAATTAAGCGCTTGATTATGCACTGTTAATGTAAATAAGCTATGTTATAAATCACATTTCATATAAAAATAAATTATAAAAATGAATGTTAAGTATCACAGAAGAGTTCAAGTTGATTTCAGTTTAGCATCTGTCTTATTATGCATTCTCCACTGTTCTTGAATGAAACTTATCAAGGCTTTTTCTTTATTCCAAATGATTACAATTAATAGAAGAAAACACCAACCGCCACACAGTAAATGCCATATCCAACGTTTAAAAGTCATACAACAAAAATAAGCCTAAAATAAAGTAATTAATTTAAGTCTAGATTTTCACACAATTTTTTTTAAAAAGAAAAAATATATATTGTTCAATAAACAATGCATATGAAGTAATACATATTTGCTTACTTGTATTTTGAACACATGGTAATGAATAGTTCCCTCAACATTTGATAATAACACAAATCTAAACTTGTTCTGACCACAATTATAGAGTGACAACGTATAACAAGGTTACAATTTAGTGTGGCTCGTACTCCCTAAACATCACTGGTACCAGAGCACACGTCCAGGAGGTGCACTCAACATTCGGTGCAACCTCAAGGATCAGACGGTGCTTACTAGGCTTACCAGCGGCCACCTTAAGTCTCTTTCTTTCGAGGGTAGTGTTAAAATCTTCCTAAACTGCCCCAGGTGCCACAACATGCAGGCTTCTTCCCAACATATCCTGGACTGTCTTGGACTGGATAAGAGGGACATTCTAGAAAACCCACTTTTGGTGGCTGACTTCCTCCGGGTCATGAATTTCATGGACATTGTTTAGTCCTGCTAATTTTGGGGATTAGGAAGAAGAAGAAGAACAATTTAGTGTGTCCCAAAACAAATTCTTTTTTGCCCAGTCATATATTGTTTACTTCATCAAATATTCTAAAAATTTTTCGGTTTGATAATGTTCACTCATGCTGCTTATTTGAACGCCAAAAAAACTTTCAGCTATTCTGGAGCTGTATTGTCAAAGGAAGTGCAAAATCATTTGCTTCCGCTGGAATCAATCAAGAATCACTGCAGAAAATGACAAAAAAGACTCGTCCTCAAAGCGTACAACCTTAAAAAATTCAAGTTCCTTACAGAGAAGAACAAAAGCGTGAGACACGAAAAATTCCCTTAACTTAGCGATGGGAGATAATTCTCTTCACAGGCTGGAAGGTGGTCACTATGGAGCTGGCGTACAACCTCTAAGTTCTGGTTCTTTGGCACTCCCAGAAAATCAGCTTTCATTAAGCATTGCTATAATCTACAGTCTGTCATAGTTTGAAGAGAATTTTGAGCTCTTTGCAAGACACTCCTCATTCTCATAGATTAAGGGGTCTAAATCAAGGTAAAAAATAAAATCTTTGAGTCTGTGGTACTTTTGTAGACCCTGCACCACTTCCGTGACGGAGATTGGGTGTTTCAATAGGACTTTGGACAAAAATGACACAGAAGAGGTGCAAAAACTATTAATCGGATTTCATAACTATGTGGATGGCTGTCCTATTCACTTAATTTCAATGCATGTGGTTAGGGTGTGTGGTAGACAACGTGAAAGTTTAAAGTCACTTAAGCAACCCTTGTGTCTGGAATGGGGTCAATTGTTGAACAAATGCATGTCACCCTTTGTCAAAAATTTCCAGTCCTGTTTAGCACTCTTTTTTGTTGCTACAGGGAGCCACTTTGAAACATCATGAATATGTTTTAAGCAAAGGTCCAAGCTATTATTATTGTGGCTATTCCAAATATCTTTAATAAAAATACATTTAAAAATACTTCAAGACTGTGTAAGTTGTTGCCACACTGTAAGTTTAAATTATTTCAAAGTAGAATTTTGAGAGTAAATTTATAATTCTGTCAAGTAACAAAAAAAATATTAATGAACAAATTAAATTAAATTATTTTTTCGTAACAAAAAATTATGGTTTTGGAAATCTAGGCTGTTAATTAAACCAATGTAAAAAAAGTTTCTAGACATTAAAAAGGAAAAAGTTTCAATTAGACAATTGGTGGATAGTATCCTAATCAATAACAGCACTAGATGAGTTAAATTTTACTTAAAATATCAAAAACCATTTTAAATTAAGCATTAGTATTAAGAGTTCTAACATAGATCATAATAAATAAAAGCAAACATAATACGCTTTTTAATAATATAGAAACGTTAAATTTATAGTTTGTATGCAAATGAAAAAATTTTTTGTCACTAAGCTAACGAAAATATTTGTAAAAATTACACCCAAGTTGATAAAATGCAGAAATGAGAGTAGCAAAAAAGAGGAAATCCAAGAATGAATATATATATATATATATATCCAAAAATTTGACAAAAATGTGCAATTTTTAAACTTTTAAACCATGTGATCATAAATCCTGATGGTTAATTTTAAAACTGTATGAATATGAATCATATGCATGATTTTAAATTGAGAGAATATGAATCCAGATATGAAGCTTTTAAATCTTTGTGAACATGAAACTCTATATAGAATTTAAAAAATGCGAAAATACAAATCATGATGCATAATTTTTAGATTATGTAAATACGAATTACAATGCATAATTTTTAAATCGCACGAATCCGAATCCCAATATCTAACTTTTAAAGCATGTATAAATACGAAAATCGAAGTTTGATACTACAACCGCAAAAACGAATCACGACATTGGATTTTAAGCTCACGTGAATACGAACCGCTACATAGGGTTTTAAAAGCGCGTAAATACAAATCGCGATATTTTATTTTTAAATATCGTAAATAAGAATCACAATGGACAATATTTAAATCGCCTGAATAAGAATAGCAACGTTCAAATTTAAATCAGATAAATACGAAAATAGATGTTTGATAATAATATCGAGACTTTAAAAATGCATAAATACAAAACACAATATTGGATTTTTAAATCTCGTAAATACGAATCATAATGTACGATATTTAAGTAGCGTAAATAAGAATCACAATGAGTAACTTTTAAATCAGGTAAATACGAAAATCGATGACAGATATTAAAATCGCGTGAATAAGAATCGAGATACTTGCACAGTCTGGACTTGGGATTTCTAAAAGTTTGTATTGCTTTTGTTTAGACATAACAAATAAAAATTTACAAGATTAATTGAATGGGCAAATAAATATTTTCACTGCAAATCCACATCGATTTTTTGTTTTTGCTTTCACGCCAAAAAACAGAAACGTCTGAATTACGAAAATACAAGCTATCCAGCGGACGGATAAAAATACGGAAAATCGGAGAAAATAGCTAAAATAAGTAAAAAAATAGAAAGGTTAGCAACTAGGACGTGGTTTGAATTTTCTGTTTATCTTTGAAAATCGTAAATAAATATAATTATTTTATTTTAGTGACTGAATTTTCACAAAAAAAGAGGGAAATTTATAACAAAAAACCCGAAACTTTTAGAGAATCAGAGTTTTTGATAAAAAGACTGAAATTCGAGAGACAAAAGCGAAAATCTGCTAAAATCTCATCCCTGAAAGTGTAAATTTATTTCCTTTAGAAAAAACTAACCTCCAGAAATAAAGAATTTGAAAAATATAAATATAATTAGTTGTGAGATTATGTATGCAAATGCAAGACTCACACAAAAGTTTAAATGCACCATACTTGATTTTTTTATTCCATTAAAGCATATTATTTGCAGTTAAAAATAATTTTTCTCCAAACTTTTTAGTTTGAAATTTGCTGTGTTAAAATCACAATGCATCCTTTTTGAATTATTTGAAAACAAGATTTTTCATCATGAAATTTGATAACACTTTAATTAATAAAATATTTAATACATTTATAAATGTATAAAAGTTTTTACCTCTGTAAAATATGTGATACAGAAAATCACAGACAAAGCCAATAATATTACTGTATGAGGCATTATTTTCATGAGAAACCACATTTTGGATATTTTGAAATAGTTCTGTATGAAAAAGAAGCTGCAAGAAATTTTATTAAAAAAGATATTAGGTAAATGATTTATAAAATCACTAAAAGCATTCATTTTAATTACAAGAACAAAACAATTTTAAAGGGAAGGAAACTGAATGATTTTTTATATGATCCAATTTGAAAAAAAGAGAAAAAAAATTCATCTTTCCATATAAAATGAGCTTAATTCAATGACAAAATATTTTGCCACAAGACTTTTTTTCTGTCAGACTTAAAACAAATAACAAGTCTTTTTGAAAAACATGGATAGATAAGTGCAGTTTGATTGCACTTAATATGAACGTTACATTTTCTATGTTTATAACTGTATATTAAGTTATTATTTTAAAGAAATTTAAAAAGTTAAAAAATACAAATTGTATTTTTTATATAATATTTTGAAAGGAAACATTTAACATTTGTGATAATAATTAAAAGTTTTCATCATTTATAAAATAACTCTTAGTTTGTGAAAACTATAGTTCTCAATGTTGTTAGAAATCATTAGGCAGTATATCAATATTTAAATCCCCGAAAATTCTTTTTTTTAATACATTAATTTCTTGCAATAATTTAATCAAACATTACATAAAAAAAGCACAAAATATTATTGAATTTAATACAATTCAAATGAGATTAAGAAATATATTCTAATAACACTCATTTGATTATAAATTAATGTTCAATAGGGCTCAAGATAAAATGTATGTAATTTAATAAAAGAAAAGAATAACATAAATAAAGCTTCAGTTACTCTAGAGACATATTTACTTCCAGTTCCTTCTTTCTAGCATAAGTAATTACTTTTTTTTAACGTTTTATGTACATTTTTAAAAAAAAACTTATTGACTATATCTTTAAACACTTCAACTAGAAAATTGGAAAATGCATGAGCTGATTTATTATTGAAAATAAAGGTATTTGCAAGTGAGCTTACACTTACTTCCATATTTGCTTTGATGACTTTCAATACTGTATGAAACAGATAATGATTTTAATTTGTTACAATAAACACTAGCCATATAGGCAATTTACAAATGCACTGCAACTGAATCAGAAAATGGTTTTTTAAATGTACGATGGTATGGTTTAAATTAACATTAGTTGGTTTACTTGAAAGTAATATAACAAGCAAGCATTACATGGGCATACATAATGAAATAGTCATCACTAACCAGCAGTTATATCTTTAGGAAATCTAACAGGCATGATACCAGATGATCGACTAAAAGAGTAATCAGATCATAATGTTTATGAAGTATACTTTTTTGTATTGTTTATTACAGTTGAAATTATTGAAAATGCAAATTTTAATTTGTTAAAAATTGAGATATTACTAAGCAAATATTTTAATTTTGACATAGCATTTATTATTTTTTTTCCATATTGAATACATAAAGTATTAAACACATTCCAATTGTAAAAACCCTGGTCCCTCTTGAAAACAAAGCCTTATTTTTCTATTGATATGTGAGCACAAATTTAAATGAAAATTATAAAAAGATACCGAAACCCCAAATTCTTACCTGTGTACAATGCGAAACAACATATTAAGACAATTAGCCAGTATAAATCCAACACTTCCAAAAAAAGTGACTAGTCCATAAGATGCTAATAGAAAACTAATTGATAGAAGAACAAGATTTTTGTTGTATCTGTAAATAAAATAAAATGCCTTGAAACATACAATAATACAATTACAATTATAATACAAGAGAACAATTGTAAAAGTGTATTTAAATTATTTAGATCATATATATACTTTATTTATTTATTGAAACAGAATTATTTGAAAGAGCTGAAAATCATTTTTTAAAACATTTTTAATCAAAAAGAATGAACTTTTAAAAACTCTATATATAGAAATAGGTAACCGTAGAAGAGTTGGTAGAGTTGGGATTAAATGTAATTTGCAAGTGAGTGATGAGACATTAATTACTTTAAAATTATAAATAAATTGATTAGGGTTCTTGTTGCTTTAAACTTTTTATCTTCTATCTAACTTTATAAGAACAATTTTAAAACTAATATGAACTGAAGCATTTTAAAATACTTACTGTTTCTAAAGCTTCCATTTTCACTTTCTTTAAGAAATTTGTTTCTTTTTGAAGCATATAAATAACAAAAAGCTCATTGAGGTAATAATGTCATATTTATAAATTTTCTTTAACATTTTGTACTAGTGTGTGTATATTTAATTTAAAAATTTCAAACTTTGGCTTTATTTGAAATATAAATATGCAAGCTTGGTAAAAATTATTTAAAATATAAACTTCGAATCAATTTTTCTTGAAGGTGTTAGAGACAATGTTTGTGTGTGTGTGTTTTTTTTTTCAATAAATGAGCATTAGTAGACACTTTCAAGTACAAGATTTAGAAAATCAATAAACATTCAAGAAAAAATAGTGTTTTAAAAAAATTGCTGAAAAAGAACAGAAAATATAGTTCGTAATGTGAAATGAAAAATGCTTTACTCAGAATTGTATTCAAGAAATAAAATATTCGTCTGTCATATTTTTATACTTGTGCTATAAAACAATTAATAAAAACACATTTTTGCATAGTTAAATACCACAATTGATATCATGTCTGTTGCTATGCATTTATAAACATTTTTAAACAACATAAATAGAATTTATCTATGACAATATTCATTTATCATTGAAGAATGTCTAATATATATATAAGCAGACATTTCAAACGTTCTATGTTCAGTTGATGAAGTGTAAATGCTTTCACTCTTTGTCATGTCTGTTGTCATAATTAGTTGTGCATAATTTTTTTTATTCAACTGGGTTATTAGGTTTTTGGTATAAATTAAAAATAATTTTAATATTGTTTCTTAAAATGACAAGTCTGTTATTTAATAACAATTTAATTTAATATGTTAACTCTTTTTTTTTTTTTTTTTTTTAAAGGAAGCAACATTTAAATAGTATAGAAAAATTATATGCACTTTGCTATATTTAAAAATAGTTACGCAAATACTTTCTATTCATTAATAACACATTCTCAAATTTAATTCCCATTTCCAAATGACTCAGAATTTTTTAAGATGGCCAAGGTACACATTAAATAGGTATTTCATACCAGAGAAAGTCAAAGACCTATATTATTTATTTTTTATCAACATTTTAAGCATGATAATTAATATACTCCTATCATGTATCCATAATACACAAATATTCAGTATGTTTTAATTTTATTGTATGCTGGTATTTCATATCTAATAAATAGAACAAATTGCTCATCATTTTAATGTTTCTATAAGAAAGAAATATAAATCTCTTTTCAAGCTAACAATTGCAAAAATTAGTTTTCTAATTTTTAATGATATTTAGACACTTTATAATGATATGTAACTATTGATATAATATAGTTTAACTCTCACCTATCAATTTCCACATGAGACATAACAGCAAATTTGAAACCTTCAGAAATTCCATTAACAGCCAACAAGAGAACATAAAAACAATGCCACCTCATCAATGTCAAACCTAGAAGTAAATACAAAAAATTACTCGAATCAAACAATAAAAAAAATTATCTACATTTAATAAGTGCATACCCGACATTCAATAAAATAGAAAGAAAAAAATATATATAATTTTACAATTTACTAGAAAATAATCCACTTGTTTAAAGTATCATATTTTATGGATTAATTACATAAATTTATAGCACTTTGTGTCTACTACAAATAATAACAATCTGAAATAAAAAAATAAATTATTATTAATTACATGACATTGCGATCGTAATACATACGTTGAAGAGGACAAATATAGAAATTAATAATTTTTAAAACATTATATTACATATATTTGTTAGAACTTGTTGACTTCAAAAGATATTGAAAGCAAGTTTACAGAAGAATGCTAAAATTTAGTCACCAAAAATGTAGGCAAAATAGAATTAAATTTTTTACCTGCATCAGCAACAGGTTGTGATTCTTTTTTTTTTCTTTCATAGACATATTAATTTATTTTTAATGCAACTAGGATAGATTTTATACACATTTTAGAAATCTTATGTTGGCATCTCTACTTTAGAACAGGTTGGATAAGCAAGTGTGAATTGGAAAAGAAATCATATTTACTTTACATAATTAAACCAATCACTAATACTCAAGCTCTTGCCAGTAAAAAAAAATGTAAGCTTTATGTTTAATACTTTGTTATTTATTCACACAAACAATGATCAGATAGGGTTATCAAAGTGCGGCCTCTATTCTTAAAATGAATGGATTCTTCCTTCAGACATTTCTAAAAATCATTTTAGTAAAGAAAGATTTTAAGACCTTTAGGAAAAATTTCGAGGAAAAAAAAAGAGTAAATTGTTTTTTAAATAAAAAGTTTTTTTTTTTTTTAGTATTATTCAATTGATTATTATGTAATTTTGCATTCGAAAAGAAACTGAGCTCTGTTCTTATTATTGGTATAAGTGCAGAGATGCCAACCTGCTCCAAACAGCAAATATATATTTTAAAGTGGTAGTTTATCAATTGTAATTTTTGGTTCAATAAATTCAGTTTAGTAGATTTCTATCCACCACTATTTCTAAATAATTCGTAGCCTTATATAATTCACCAATTTATAGAACTTTTGTCATGCTATACCTTTAAAAAAGCAAGAAAATAGTCACATATTTGCAAGATTTACCTTGTAGTTATTTACGTTTTTTAAATTATTTTGGCATGTCCGGAGCAGTTGGCATCTCTGTAAGTATATTACTGAATGTCAAATCATTTCAGCATCACTTATTTATACTTATTATTATAAAATGGTGCAAAAATAAAAGTTATTCTACATCTTATTATAAAAACTGAACAATAAAGATATTCATATACAGTCAAAGTTCTATGTATAGGTTAATTTCATACAAAAAATTAAAAACTCAAATTTAAAAAAAGAAAAAAATCATTAATAATAAAATAACTTTCAAAATTAAAGTATGTGTTTTAAAATGCATGTTTAATTAAGGAATTTGTTTAATGAATACCTTTTACTAGTAATAAAGTTCATTTATTGAAATTTTTTCCCAATATAGGTGTTGCATAGTGGCATTAAACCAAATAAACTAGGTTTTTTTACACAATATTTAACTTTTTGAAAGGGTTATATTTTAACACATTTTCAAATGAAAACTGAATTCTTAATTCAACATAATTTACAATCTGTAGTTATTTTTTTAGAAGATAAAAGAATACAATTATTTTTACCATAATCAATTTAAAAGAAAAAAAGAATGTGCTTTTTGTCAACAATGTGATCATAAAGATTTTTAAAAGGATGAAAGTAACTTACAAAGATAAACTAAGCGGGCATTCTAAAGAACTTAAATTATTCAAATAACCATAATGCTTTTCATAATTTTCACGTAGCAAATGTTTGCCCTTTATTCTGGAGGTCTTAAAGGTGTTTGTTTTAAAATTTCGCTTTATTGCACTGGATCATATTTAAATATTGTTCATTTTGATAAATGTCTAGCGTTTCAAAAGAATTTATAAACATCTTACATATTTCAAAAGTAATTCTAAAGAAAAAAGCAGTAAAAGATAGAATAATAGCAATTTCCATACCGATTCCAGAACTTAACTTTGTCCCACCATACAAGTATAATAGAAGTTGGGAATAAGAAATTCCAAAAACTAAAATAGTCAGTCCTAATAGAGCCATCAACTTAAGGATATTTCCCAAAACTGTAAGGCATAATGTAATATTTTCCTGAAATAAAATTTCAAGTTTTTAAAACATAATTTTTTTGAAAACATGTTTCACAACTTCATTTCATATTGCAAACTGAACTTAAAGGCATAAAATGTAAAGATATTTTATATAAGAAAAAAAAACATGCTAAAACATAGAGTTTAGTCAGAAAATAAAAGAACACTGTAGTTTATTTTAGAACATACAAAGTGTGAGTAGATAAAGTTAGCTTTTAAATTTACATATAAACATTAATAAGTCATATTTTACATTGAAAACAGCCAGGTTCTCAAAAAAAAAAAAAAAAAAAAAAAAAAAAAAAAAAAAAATTATGATGAAAAAATTATTGAGTTTTTTTTTGACTTTTTAATTAAAAAAAAATATTTTTAATGTTACTAAATCATTAATAACATTATCTGCTAATAGCCAACCATAAAAAACAACAACATTGCTTTCAAAATGCAATGTTTTTTAAAGACTCAATTGATACATCAAGCTGAATTATATGCAACCTTACAAGGATAAATATTACAAAAGAATATTTAAACAACACATAATTTAATGGCATAAAAATCAAAAAGGGTATATTTTACAAAACTAAAGGTTTTTTAACAGACCAGGAGGTAAATTATACAAAATTAAAAAAAAATATAACATGCACAACTTTTACTTAAGATTTAAAAATCTTCAGTATTCTAAGTAGATAAAAATCACATCATGATGAACTTGTTAATGAATGAGGTAAGCTTAAAATAAAGCTAAAACTTAATAATTTATGAAACTATAAGTTCAATAATAATTAATAAGAACTAATTATTAAAAACTAACTCAATAGATTAAAATTAAAGGATTTTGACTGGCACTAAAGATACAACTATTAGCAGAAAGACATAATAAAATTACAAAAATACAGACAATATTCAGACACTTATAATATAGTTTAAAGTGAAAGAAAAAAAGTTCAAGACAATAACATTTGGGAAAAAGTTTTTATTCAGATGAAATATTTACCTGAGATTGTGATTTGTTTCTCGGTAATAATTGGGTGAAGAGTAAATATGAACTGTCTTCAATTGGTAAAAATATGAATCTAGCGGCTAAAGAGCCCAGGTTATTAACAACATCATACAGACCTGTAAAAAAGATTTCAAAGATTTAACCATTAAATATGCAATAGAAAAGTTCTCTCACTTCCATAGAAATTAGCTTAAGGTTAATTAAATAATTTAAACGTTTTTTACTTAAAAAGATAAAAGAATAAGATATAATAATCAAATAAAGTATTCCATTCATGGAATACTGTAAACTAAACTCAGTGGCACAACAACCCATAGAGGGCCAAGGCCGACTGTGCCCATCTCAGTTTTCTTGATCTTGGGCTCTGGGGTGCAGGAGCAGATGTTCCGGTCAGGTGGTCAGCCGAGCGCGTAACCCCCAGTGTTTAGTTCCCAAGCATGCTTGGTACTCATTTATCGACCCACTGAAGGGATGAAAGGCTGAGTCAACCTTGCCGGGCTCGAGTATCGAACCCAGGACCTGTGGCATGGGAGCGCGAAGCGCTACCACTCGGCCACTGGGCGTCTTGGAATACTGTAAGTAGAAAGAAAATCATGATAAAAAACTTTTTTTTTTTAGAGAAAGTTTTAAAACCAAAATATTTTAATTTTACTTTATTGAAATCTTATTTGCATTTTATAAACATATAATTCATATAGATTAAGGATGAAGCATAACGACTCAGTTCTATTGGATTGTTTTCTTGTAGTGATATATTTAAAAGAAAGTGGAAGCTTTGATAAAAGTGGGGGAAAATAAGTGTGGTGTTAAGATGAGTGTATAATTAAATATTACTTTTAAAATACATACACTGAAATGAATAAAAATACACTGAAATAAATGTACAGTCGGCAAAAAAAAAAAGATATCACCCTGAATAACTTTCGTTCTAATGATCGGATTTTCACGAACTAAGTGTTAATCTTAATGGTTCCTGGGGGTGACATCAAATATGCTAATTAATTAGTGGTAACTATTAATTAAGTTACGAAATCAGACACAAAAACGTACTTTCTCTGAATAAACATATATTTTTTCTTACATATTTGGATTCTTAACCTTCAAAATATAGGGGGTAGCCGCAATCTGGGAAATATGGTCCCCATAGTTTGGTCAGGAGAGCGATCCAAAGTTCGTACCCCTTAATGTTAATTTCACTTTTTACGTTTTTAGTCATATTTTAAAAACTAATAAAGCAATTCGAAGAAAATTTCACCCAGTCATAAAACTCATTTACCCAAAGATAATTTCACGAAAAAAATAATTTTTAATAATTGTTAATTATTTTTTATTATTTAATTAAATTAAGGATGAAAAATTTTTGAATTATAAGGTATGAATTTTTTTATACCATATTAATCTACATATTTTTCAATTGAAAAATCTAAAGTTTCAACTGTTTTTATTTATTAGAAGCT